TATTTATAATTGACTGTAGATATTTTTTAATTGTGTTCTTGTGATGAAAGAAATCTAAATAAAACAATTAATCGACCAAAGGAGAAGGACCGGTAAGCCACAATTTCGGCCCCCTCTGGATTTTATTGTAAATTCAAAATTAAAAAAATCAGAAACAATTTCTTAATGCATAAAACACTAAATTAAGCTGTTTCCAGCCTAAATAGACCTGTTCAACATGGTTGTTATCTGTTTAAATAGAGAAATTCGCATTTGTGGATATTTTGTGCAGTACTACACAACTTGCCTGAAAATCGTGGATGTTATATTGGAAAATCATGAACATTATAATATAAAATTATTTTTGTACTTCTAAAGGTTTTAAACAAAAGATCCCGAGAAACACTTCATCCAACTACTCTCGAGTGTCCAATTACTTACCTAAACGGAATGAAAACAGGAAAGAGGAATAAAGAGAATGGAGACGGGGGAAAGAGAAGGGGAAGATGGGCTAAATTTTCGATTACACAGGCACACGAAAAAAAAGGTTTTGTCCACCAGACGAGATAAACATTTCTATACGTTTTTGGGGTCGCTGAATCCGAATCCGGGGTTGGTTTGACTCGGTCAGGTCGCATTTCGCTCCTAACCTAATAAAAATGATGAAAGTTGGAACATTCATGAAAACACCCAGAAAGCAAAGCGATTATATGTCTTCAGGGTCGCTGAGTCCAAATTTGAAGGTCATTTGACTCGGTGAGGTCGCATTCCATTCATAACCTTGAAAAAAATAAATTTTAACATCGAAAACTGTCCCTGACACGTGAGAGAAAATTTTCTTTTATTTTTCCCTGTGATATCTTGTTCTTTTATTCTCAAAGGACCTATGCAGGGGGTTTCTGTGATGTTTCACCCCTTTTTGAACAACTTCTCTTTGCAATGTCCAACAGTAATCTGCTAATATATTCACATCCCACCTTCCCTGATACCTACGTTCCATCTCCTTTATGTCTTGATGGAATCTTTCTCCCTGCTCCTTACTGTAATCCCCCAAATTCATTGGAAAGTAATCTATGTGAGAATCCAAGAAGTGCAACTTTAGGTTCATCAAACAACCAAGCTTTCGAAAGTTTTTCACCAGATCAGCTACTATTTTTTTGAAGTTTTCACTTTTATGGTTACCGAGAAAGTTTTCCACGACATTTTTGAAACTCGTCCACGCAGCTTTTTCTATTTTGTTCATAACTTTGATGAAATTCTGATCGTTCAACATTTTGCGGATTTGTGGGCCATCAAAAACACCCTCATGCACTTTTGCGTCTGAAATATTCGGAAATTTTTGCTGTAATATTCGAAACATTTGCCTTCTTTGTTAAGAGCTTGCTTCATGAGACCCAATTTAATATGGAGAGGAGGTAGAAGTACTCTGTCTGGATCGACTAACGGAGTTTGCTTAATATTTTGCAAACCTGGCTTGAATGAAATTCTCGTTGGCCATTCTTTGCGAGTATAGTGATTTTTTCTATTCCTACTATCCCACAAACACAAAAACATGGATTTTTTGTAAAACCTGATTGTTGCCCTAATACCAAATCTAAAATTTTCAAGTCCCCGCAAATTTTCCCAATTAAATTCTGAATACTTGATCTTTTTCAAAACAAATTCGAGATTTTGGTGAGTCTCCTTGAGCACAGTTGAATGAGCTATCGGTAGGAGCGAACTTATTCGTGTTGTGAAGTAATACTCCCTTGAGATTTCTTTTAGAAGAATCAATAAAAAGTCTCCACTCCTCATCCTTGTAAACACCTGGTTTCAGTTCATCCATTAATCCCTTGCACATCGTTACAATACACCAGCGATGGGTCGTCTATTTTCGTGAAGTATTTTCTAAATTTTTCTTCTCTGTTTCGGAAATAATCAACTTTAACATCTTTTGCTAGGTAGTTCTTTTTTTTCATAAACGACGTAAGAAGTTCTGCACCATCTTTTGGTAGCCCTAGATCTCTTACCAAGTCATTCAGTTCCTCCTGCTACGTAACTTGGAAAACATTATCCTTGCCTCTACCTAGGATGTAATCGTCGTCATTTTCGTGCTGCTTTGATTCATCACTATATTCATCGGAATCATTTTCTTCTTCGGATTCAATGTTTTTCCTCGATTCGTCTACTTCATCGGAATCATTTTTTACTTTTAGATAATTTTTATTTTCAAAATTATCAGAATTTCTCTCATTGCAGCACGATCTTTCTGGTTTTTCTACTGTTTTGACATTGGTATAAGCAAAGCTTTGCTTATTTTTTCTGTTGAAACCTGTGACGTCATTCATACAAAAGTAACAATCCTTTTGATGCAATGGCTCTTTCCACAACGTAGGTTTGTTATATTTCATGTCCTTAGAATGTCTGCTTGAATTCCAACAATGTAACATCTTAGAACAAGCTGCACATATTTTGTGTGGCATCCATTTTTTGTACGTTATTTTAAGACCAAAACATTCCTGATAAATATTTTCAATTTTCGCAGAAATTATTCTTCGATCTGTTGGGGGCTGGTATTTGCTACATATGTAGCAAAAATCATCAGTGTCTTTGTTGCATGTATGTTTCGAAAGAGAAACTAGAAATTTTTTGTTTGAAGGTGCCATATGTGTTGAGAAAAACCCGCGCGTGAGGGATCCTGGTCCGACCGCAGGTGAGTCTACCGTCCTAGGGGTGATAACTCTCATACCTCCCTAGGCCTAAGTATGAGAGCTTTCCTTTGAACTTTGACGAGGACTATGTCAACCAGTCGTCGGACACACTACGGCTTCATCCTCACACCCTCACGCCCACCTGCAAGGCAGCGCGCCTTCGCTGGCTTCGTTACCTCAACAAATCTGAGAACGAATCATTCTACATCCCTTTCGGGGCAGTTGTCATCGTCACAGTATCTGTCAAGGCAGCAGGATTTTGTGCTGCAGACTGATAGCCATGCTCGAAGAATGACTAACAAGTTCTATGTATCGGGCGCTGAGTACAAACAATTTATGTCGAGAACAGTTTTCAGTGTTTTAATTCATTTTTTTAAGGTTATGAATGGAATGCGACCTCGCCGAGTCAAATGACCTTCAAATATGGACTCAGCGACCCTGAAAACATATAATCGCTTTGCTTTCTGGGTGTTTTCATGAATGTTCCAACTTTCATCATTTTTTTGAGGTTAGGAACGAAATGCGACCTGACCGAGTCAAACCAACCCCGGATTCGGATTTAGCGACCCCAAAAACGTATAGAAATGTTTATCTCGTCTGGTGGACAAGACCTTTTTTTTCGTGTGCCTGTGTTATCAGAGCCTAATCCAATAAATATACATAACGATAATACATAATCTTCTTGGGTAACAAAGTCACTTTTTTTCACCTCATAGTTCAGTAAGATGAAAGGCGAGTTCATTTCTCACGGTTTTGCAACCAGGTATGTGTGTGCTATCTGACCTATTTCACTGTCAGCATCAATTTTACGTATGAAAATAATTTTATATTATGATGTTCATGATTTTCCAATATGATATCCACGATTTTTAGGGAAGTTGTGTAGTACTGCAATAAGTTCGAATTTTTCTCTTTAAACAAAATAACGACCACGTTGAACATATCCGTTTAGGCTGGAACAGCTTAATTTAGTGTTTTATCACCAAAAATAAAATTCACGACTATAACTGGCCAAGTATATTTCAAATTAAAGTATGTACGACGTTTCGGCCAGTAATACTGGTCCTTATCAAGTACGGCCCATTACTAGTGGTAGCCAGAAATCTACAATATTGAATATAATCGAATAAGTATACATATATAATAATATAATAAAAGGACGCAACTCGCTTACACTTACGGTTAACAAATTTATAAAAGAAGAACGTGGTCAAGAGTCGTAGTTGTCGCAGACAGTAAGACATTTAACGAGCGTGTCAGCGTGTCTTGTATTGTAGAAAGCTAATTTGACACTGAGGACATTAAAGTCGGTTCGATCGGATAAACGGTAAGAGGCGCGGGTAGGGCAAGTAAAAATAACAGTAAAAAACAAAAATAAAATTAGGTAGTGCGTACAATTTTATCATAGATAGCGCTAAGGTTGTCTGTATCTTGTTGCAAATTAATCGTGTGGTGAAGAGACTTTTTTATAAAGAACATTTCAGCGATTTCTCGCTTTCTAAAATGTGCTTCTTTATGCAATATTACAGGGTTTAGCCAATCAAATTCGTGACCTAAAAGGTTGCGGTGTGTGCTAACTACAGAATGATTATCGACCGGTTTTTTGAGATCATTGCGATGTTCATTTATTCGTGTAGCAATATGTCGTTTCGTTTGGCCGATGTATATGGCATCACAATCCGTGCAATTGAGCTGGTATACGAGTTCTGTCTGTTTTGAGTCATCAATTCGGTCTTTGCCTTTTCTGATTAATACATCTAACTTTTTTAATACAGAAAACCGGGTATCAAGATGTAGTTTCTTTAATATTTTCTTGATGTTATCACTAATGTACCCAACGAACGGAATTGTGATGCTATTTTTAACAATTTCATCTATGTTAACAGGAGTACCAGTGTCAGAACAGTTGTGGTGTTTCAGGTGTTTTAGTCGTTTTTTAATATGCTTGTCAACTAGGGAGGAAGGGTAGGAATTGTTTCTGAGAATATCTTTAACAATTTTGATGTTGGCGTCATGGAATCGTGAGTCTGCGAGTAAGATGGCTTGGTCAACCAGATTAATAATAGTATTAATTTTATATCTAAGTTGGTGGTTTGAAAAATAATTGATGTACCGACCAGAAAAGGTTGGTTTCCTATACCAGTCAGTGTACAACTTATTGCCGTCTCTGAAAACCGAAGTATTTAAGAAGTTTAGAGAGTTGTTATTCTCAATTTCTACAGTAAACTTTAATCTGGGGTGATAGCTGTTGAACATATTAAGGACTTCAGTGAGTCTATTTTTAGGTAAAATCATAAATATATCATCAACGTATCTATAGTATACAGGAATTTAAAAAATCAGGGATTCTAAACAGGTGGTCTCTAAGTCGTCCATTACAATGTTCGCTAAGATTGGGGACAACGGCGAGCCCATAGGAGTACCATATATCTGTTCATAAACCTTTTTATTAAACGTGAAGCTAGTGGAGTTGAGGATTAATTCAACAGCGTAGAGAAACTGTGGTAAATTTAAGCTAATGGATCGGGAGATCTCAAGCCATCTTTTTTCGATGCCACTTCGTACGAGTTCCAAAGGAACGTTAGTAAACAGAGAAGTAACATCTAATGAAACCATGATTTCATGTGGTTGAATTGAGTGCATGGTGATCTCTTTCGTAAAGGACCAACCATCATTAATGTGAGATTTTGGTTTAGGCACGGAATCAAAAAGGATATTATGTAGAAATCGGGATATAGTATACAACGGACTACCAACTGTCGACACGATAATGCGTAAAGGGTAACCAGGCTTATGAATCTTAGGTAGGCCGTAACAACGTGGGAGATTGCCATTAGTACAGTTTAAGTGTTTATAAATCGAATTATCAATGATATCGTTGTCACGCCACGATTTGATTAGATCATGTAATCTGTTAGTGATTCGTCTTATAGGATCTTTTGGGAGTATCCTGTAAGTGTTTTTGTCATTTAGTGCTTCAGTCATCTGGTTGACATAGGTATCTTTGTTCATCACGACCGTGACTTGGCCTTTGTCAGCTTTAGTCACAAAAATATCGTCATTGTCTTTCAGAAAACGGTGACAAGAGGAAAACTGTTTTAGTAGAAATTTGTCTATAAAGTTAAAATGATTATTTCCACATAGAAATTTGTTTAATGCGTTACTAATCTGAGATCGTGTCTCATCAACGATATCATCAGGTATTTTATATGTGTTAATTTCAAAGTTTTTTATAACATCAAGTACGAAGTTGCGTCGGTCTCTTTCATTCGACTTGTCGATGGGAAGACCAAACTTGTCACCTAAGCTCAATATATCCAGAACGTGTTGTGGAATCGGTTTATCACATGCATTGATGATCCATTTGGACCGATCAGTCGTGCGGAACGACTCAAGAGCAAAGTTCTGTGCTGTCATTAGATGGTTGAGCTTATTGATGAGTTTTTGTTTGATCTTATTATTGTGGTTTTTAAACATGGTTTGGTTGACATTAAAAAGTTGTTAACAATCTCACACGGTAAGACCATTCTCAATCTATGTACTAAATCTCCGATCGTTTTCTTCAAATGTGATACCCAGAAATTTAAGTCTCTAATTTCTAAATTTAAAAGTGTCCTTTGACAACGGCTCCTAAGGTTAATAAACTTTCTACCTACCGAACTGTTGTGTAGGGTGATATTTAATTTGATGTTGTGGATATGTGAGGGAAAAACATTATATCTTCTGCATTGCAACAAGAAAATTAGTTGTTGATTCGCGGTACCGATCTTCACGTTGGTTTTTAACCACGTCCGTAATAGGCCTGCGTGGTAGCGTCCATATTGTCTGGAGATTAAGTTGAAGAAGCCTTCACGGTTGTACACCATTGTCTCAGTCAGGGTGTGTAAATCAACAATCAGTAAGGTGGATCGCCAGTGAATAAAAACACCAAAAATAAAATTCACGACTATAACTGGCCAAGTATATTTCAAATTAAAGTATGTAGGTATGTCGGATAGTGTTTTATGTATTAAGAAATTGTTTCTGATAATTTACAATAAAATCGAGAAGAGGCCGAAATCGTGGCTTATCGATCCTCCTCCTTTAATAATAATTGATTTATTTGTATTTTAATTAGTAAATTTTTATAAGTTTCTGCACTTTAATTAGTACAAAGTTTATTTCTTTTAAATAAATTCTTCAAAAAAACTTTTATTTTCGTCGACTATGTGTACGAAATATTATTACCATTATTGTTACTAATTTAATATAATTTTATATTTTGACGTTAACTACTTCGTTTCGATGGTGCAAGAAGATTAAAAGTATTGTATAAATTCCAATTTTTATTGCGTGTAAAGACAGAAAAACAATAACAATCCGAGAAATTATAAAGTAAAAATCATTTAATATATGGCTGAATGATATATTTGTTTGAACAGTATAGTAATAGTCATAAATCATTGTTTATTTACTTTCTTTTTCCTCTGGCTATTTGGAAGAAGAGGGCACTGCAGTTTACTCATTACAATGAAATTATATGAAAGTGCACTAGGAATCACTGATACCTTCCCATATGAATTCAGGCACATATAGAACACATATACATTTTCCATGTATATGCAAAATGTATTAATGTGTTAATAGGTGCAAAATTCATGTGGAAAGACATCAGTAATTCGTATAGTATACACCTTGATTTACCCTTCGTCATCTTTCTTATTTTTAGCTATGATAGCAGATTATCATACAAATACGAAACGTACTTACATCAATTTATTTTAAGGTATAATGCCGAATTTTTTGCCGCATAAATATATTACATAAACTTATTTGATACAATTTAACATAATTTTTAATACGTACACACAAAAATATACATACACGTACTTCATTGTACTTCTTTTTGAATTAATAAATTTTTAATTTCAATATGATAAAATCATTCGACATTGAAAATAAGTACCATATTAATTCTTTTGCAGTTATACAATGTCGGAACAGATTTGTTCTTTAATAATTTATTGCATAATTATTTTAATGCTTATTGATTACTGTTCAACAACAAATTCATAAAAACATCAATAATCATTTCTCATAGTTTTTATACATTAAATACGATTTTTTTTTTTACTAAATTGCTCTATCACGCTACAACTTTGAGAACTTTGCAGTTAAAAGTGCAAAAATTGACTTTTTTAGTGCATTTTGGGAAATATTATAACTATGACATATAAGACGTGTTGAAGTTTTATTGCTATCGAAATTCAATATATTGTTAGGACTTTGAGTCCTTAAAAGATATTTTTTCTGTCAACTATGATTAAAACATATTTATGGTTATACAGGGTGTTAATAAATCTTGTAACTTGTAACAAACGGCATTTTTTTAGATTTTCGCGCGCTATCCGACGGTATAGTACCGCCAATGCGATGATTTATTAACACCCTGTATACA